TCCGGGTGCAGTCAATAACCCGACTGGCCTGGCATCTTTCCAAGTGAGTGGCCGTGGCTCTCCAGTGGCAGATGGTTGTGGCAAAACACCCTCTTGGTGTTGAGCTGTGCACTGCCCTTCTTGGTAGCGTCAATGAGAAGAGCTGGGTCGTCGTAGTTCTCAAGCTGGCAGCACTCAATGTTCTTGACCCAACGATGGTTGGCGATTTCCGAGATGGTGGCGCGCTTTGCGGGGTTGGGGTTGAGCATTGAGAGGAGCACACGACGAAGTGCTGGCGGGGAGACGAATCCATCAAAGGCATTGAAGAATGGGTAGTCCGACTCGGTAATGCGCGATCCAGGCTCAGGGTGCTTGGCTTCCCACTTCTGCCATCCCTTGAGCAGCTCAGCGTATTGAGGGTTTCCCTTAACCTCGGCCTTACTCCAGATATTTCCTCCGAAGGTCACGTAAATCATGACAATCGCCGCGCTCCACACATCGAGACCTCGCGGGTCATACTCGGTCTCCTTCAGAAGCACCTCAGGTGCCGTGTACGGCTCGCTGCCACACATGCCAGGCTTGCACAGACGGATTTCGGCGCACATGCCCTTGCCACACTGGCCGCCAGCTTCTCTGAAGCCGGGGTGGTGGCCAGTGAAGACTTCTGAGACACCAAAGTCGGTGATCTTGAGCTTGCTGTCTTTGGTGATGAGAAGGTTCTCGAGTTTGATGTCACGGTGAGCAATACCGTTGCTGTGAAGATAGTTGATTCCCTGGACAAGTTGCTTGAACAGGCAGAGGCGATCAGGAAGTCTCGCTGGATCTTGGAGGTACTTCTTTGCAATCAATCCAAAGAGATCACCCTCCGAGCAATACTCCATAATGTGATTCCAACGACCGTGATCGGTGCAAAGCCGGATCGTCTCGACAACGTTGGGGTGGTGCAAGCTCTTGGCGATGCTGTACTCAGACTTAATCTTCTTCTCGTATTCTTCTTGCGTCTCTTGCTTTCTCTTGGCTCTGAACTCCTTGACCGCATAGAGCTCATTAGGGCACCCCTTTCGGCTCATCATAGTGACCTTGGAAGTGGCACCCTTTCCGAGATGTTTGCCATGGCGGCCAAACTTGGATAGGTACTCAAATTCCGCAAGGAGGTCGGCGACATCGACTTGGAAGTCGTCCGGGAGACTCAAGCTCATGCGTCGAGCCTTGACACCAACACCAGCGTCAGGCATCTGAGCCCATGGAGACGATCCCTCCAAGGGAAGAACAGGGTTATCTGAGTGAGGATTGGGTGCAGACGCTAGATGACGGCTCTTCACGCGGCCCTCGAAACTGCTGGCTCGTCTTCTGCCCAAGACAGGCTTGACCTTCTCGGCGTGCTTTTCCCGTCCGGAAACATTGGCGCCGACGAAGTTGACAGCGCGTCCTCGTAGGTTAAGGCCGGTGGAAGCCCTGTTCTTCTTCTTGAAGTCATCTTGAGTAGGCATGTGCGAAGACTGCTTGTAGGAAGAAATGGTGTCTACAGGAGAACCTGGAGACGGAGGCGAGTTAGACCTCGTGGTAGTGTGTGACTTGTTCATTGAGAATCGTCTACGATTTGAGGGTGCTGTGTCAATCAATGCACTCTCGGAGGAGACGTCGTTGAACTGGTCCAAGGTAAATCCGAGATCTGGTCTGTTTTGGGATGAGTTGGATCGTCGAAAGATGCTGGACATTGTCCGCTTAAAGCTTGAAGTCGAGCCGCGAGTGGGCCGTCTTGACAGCGGAGTTGGTGGCGGTTCTTGGTCAGCAGCAGATTCGGCTGCAGTTGAAGGGTTAATAGCAGTGGTAGCTTTCGGTGTGAGGTCTGACTTTGCAGGCGAAACCGAAGGTGTGGGTGCGGTGTCAACCAAGAGAGGCTTCGGAGTGGTCTGCACCTGGTGGGCAGCGGTGAGATTGATGTCGTGATGGTCCTGACTAGGGCGGGTGGTAAACTCTTGGGATTGTCTCCCACTGCTGATGGGGGTCACAGGTTCATTCGGAGACTCGCTTTCGGACTCATCGGCTTCTTCGAGGATGGGAGAAGTAAGATCGGTAGGAAATTGACGGGGAGACGAGGACAGGCTACTCGAGTTTTGTTGCTCGGCGGAATGTTGCTTGTCTAGAATCGCAAGCGTTTATTAGCGACGGACGCCTTCAAGGGTGCTGCGGACGGAAACAGGGCGGGTTGGAAACAGCTGCTGAATGACGGAGGTGCAGCCAGGGTGCAATGACCATCAGACGTGTGTGAACGTACCTTGGGGGATGGGAGCGGGCTGGGGCACCGCCATGCTGGTGCTGGTGAGGACGGTCGCCATCGCTGTTCGGAGTGTGGCCGGTGGGCACAAGGACAACAGCGGAGGAGGGTGCTCTGATCAAGGATGGGCCAATACGTAATTGGGCCACACACCACCGAGAGAGAACGCTTGGTGCTGGTGCTGGTATCGGTACCAGTTGGTTTCTGGGAGGGCCAAGTCGGTAGGTAGTATAGTCCGCGGCGTTTCCGAGGGGTCTCCAATTCTTTGGCCTGGGCCTTGACGAATGGAGGGGGGGTTTGGTTGGGCGATGTGCGAGTAGTGTGTCCCCCAATTATCGGTCCTGAAGCACCAACGTGAAAGTCGAACTAAGCGATAAGTCGAGTCCAAAGCTGGCGAGGTGGGTTTATTGTAGGAGAAATCGGGAGGCTTGTAGGCCAAAATCCGAAGACGCAAAGGAAAGGGAAAACAAGAGAGTTGGGGTTTCTTGGTCTTTATCCCATTGCTTGAGGCTGCTGCATGCGTTTATTCTGCGTCGGGATGTTGTCCGGCGTTGGTGGATTTCTGTGTCGAATCAGAACCACGACGAGGCTTTTTCGAGTACAGAAGCGACTGCAAAATCAGAATAGCTAGACTGGCTCTGTGATTCGTGTATACGTCCTTGTCGAACGGGAAGCTGTACGTGTCTGCGCACGCGAGCGTATGCGGTTCTTGGTGTAAGGTGTTGGGGGAAGCAGGCAAGGTGAAAGTCGGGTCCAGGTCCTTGTCGAAGGAATTCGTCTTGGTATCAGAGTGACTTGCGTTTGGTTTGTAGAAGACTGCAGGTGCCAGAGGAGGTATATGTAGAAAAGCAAAGTGAATTGCCGATCGATGTCTTTTTCCTTGGTGAATGTTGTCTTGGTATTGACCAAGGTAGACGACCGTGATGAGGTAAAAGTTTGAGGTGTTTGGGATGGATATTAGTCGAGGATTAGGTCAGAGGAAGAGTAGAAAGAGAGGAGAAGAGGGCATGAAAATAATTCAGGCGTCCATCCTTATTCCGTCCTGGTCTTGGGAGGTGGGAAGGCTGCGAGTTTTGAATCGTCTCGCAGGGGAAGATAAGTCGCGGTAGTAGGGGGGGAGGGAACGGGTTCTCGATTTGGATGAAGACAAGCTCGAAGAAGGACCCCGCCGCTGCGCTTAGAGGGGCGTGGGAGTTAGAAAGAGGGAGAAAAAAAGACGCTCAAGAGAGAGAGAGAGCTATTTTCCGCCTCGGCCGGGTGTGGGAGTGGAAGATTGTACTGTATGAAAGTGGATGGGGAAAAAAGTTGGGTGCACCAAGTTGGAGGACTAGGGACTGTGGACCGGGGGAAGAAAGTGAGAGTGGAGGGTCTGCAGTTACAGTTGCAGATGTGCAGGTGCAGACAGGTCAAGGCCAGTCAGGTACGGGGTACGAAAGCGCGGGTGGAAGAAACGCCATGTATCTTTTACTTTTGTTGTTTTCTGGCACTCGCTCATCACTCTGCGGCCAGCCCCGGTTGGGAACCTCGAAGAGACGATGTACGGATAATCACAATACCTTAGACGGTAGGTACTGGATCCTTTGGTGGTGAGACTGAGAAGGGATACTCCGATACACTCACAGCAATTAGAAAATGGCATCCAATGGGACGGAGGGGTTCTGGTGGCGGTATGCTTTCCTTCCTCCTGAGGTCTTCTTGGAAAACAGAAACAAAAACGGCAAGTGCACGCAGGCAAAAGGGAGGCAGGCAAGAGCAACCAACAAAAAAGTAAGTACCTACCTTACCTTTTACATGAAAGATGGAAGCCAAGGCAAGTACGGATACCTTTCCCTCACATCTACACTGCTTCCTCTGGAATACATGCTCCGTACACACATGCCACTGCGTTAATCTCATCGACGGCATTCTGGGCGATGCAGCAAAATGAAGAGCAACGCTTGGCATCCTCCATCCTCTCGACAAGCGTCAACGGAAGCAACAATAATACAACCGACGCAGCAGTTTCTGTCCACAAGTTCTAGCCAAGCCCAGACTACGCCAGTGTCCAATATCCCACGTCCATTCAGCAAGCCGTATTCGCGAAGGTTGCGGCCAAGACGGTGCGCAGCCAAGAAACGACCATAGACACAAAAGAGCACGAAGCGTTACCAGCAACAAATTGTCACTCAGTATCCGTACGCACTACGCAGTAATCTCTACCTTACCTCACGTTTGTCTACAGATACTCCGTACCCAGTACTCCATACACAGCATGAATGATGGGATGGGACCGGAGAACGCCCTCGAGTGGGGACCGTTTCTCTGGGGGCACTTGGGGCTTCCATGCACCCATCTGAGGGACCCACCCGACTGACAAGACACCCTCATCTCACAAATTCTCACCCACCTGGCTCGCTCACTCTCACCACTCTCTCTCACTCTCACTCTCACTGCTCAGTCCCGGTTTACCTCATCAGTCTCTCTCCCATGCTTCTCAAACCTAAGCTCACGGTTCACCTACACAGTACAAAGTACAGGCTACGGTCCCTCATCGGCCCTTGTCACCCAAGGGCCAACACCGACGAGCCCTGCCCTACCCTGCCATCCGGATCCTGTCCACCCCTCCATTTTTGGTCTGGTGCTCTGTGCGTCTAGCTTGCACTGCACCTCAACCCGCGCACCAAAGCACATCAGACGGGACGGCATTCTGTGCCTATCATCGGCTGCTGCACAAGACTGGAGCATCACCCTGCGACTTCGCACCATGCAGTCCTTAAGCAGTATGCAATACTCCCTCCTCTGCCATTCGCCCAAGGCCAAGGCTTCACCACCTCGTGGTCCGGACCTGGCCGAGGAGAAAAGTGATTGAATTCAGAGACCGCGGATCCTGCCAGGAACACAACCGTGAAGTGGCCACCAGGGCGAACAAGAATCGCCCGAAACCGCGGGTCGTGGAACCCGGAAAGAAGCCCCAATGGAACATGAAGAAATGCCCAACTACGTGGTTTTTTCTGCTCGACAAGCCGACGGTGTCAAATTGCCAACCATGACAAGCAACGATCAACATGAGCGGGTACGGAGACCGTACGGAGACCAAAGAAACACCAATGTCTCCCAGAAGACTTCCTAGGAGACATCGTCTTAGCCAATCTAGTACGTACACACTGGACATGTATCTGTAACAGCAACTGTCATGACAAACAAGCGTCGGTGTTGGCATTAGCATTCACGCAGTGCCTTGTGTGTATTATTGGCACTGGCGGCGTGGCGCTCGTCACTGACTGACAAGCATTGGCGAGCAACACAAGCAGGCTGGCAGCTTCATTCTTGGCCATCCATGTCTTATTCCACAGTAATTACCATAGGTATTGCCAGCGTACGGGTACCAATTCAGAGCAGTATCCTCTCATATGCCGCCTACGGCCTGCGAGCCTGAAGTGCCCTGAACTGCTGGGCTTGCTGCGGGTACAGAGTACGGATGAGGGGGGGCGTGTTCGTGGATGCGCCGCCGGCCCCAATGTGTGTCGTGACTACAGTCAATGATCAATCCCAATTGATACAGCACAGTACAGCACAACGCCAGCACCACCACGGGGTTGACAGGCGAGACAAGATCAGAGGGCGTGAACGGGGGTCCTTGGAACAGGAGCATGGGGGTTCCAACTCCGACTCGTTCCTTCACAGACGGACGAATGAGACACCGCTGGAGGTTGTGTGGGGTGAATGATGCGATATTTGCTTGGCTGCAAACCGCTGCTCTGCTTCTGTGCGGGAGAACCACCTTTTCACTCAACAGGACTGGTCCAAGTGGTTCCCTTCCTCGTCCCTGCTTTTCTCTGGAACCGCCTATGGCTTGGTCTCTGGAGAAAAGGAAATGCGGAATGAGTTTGCCCTCGCGTATCTGCGTAGCGCCGCAGGAGCCCATCTAGGCCTTCTGTCTTGCTGGTTTTCTCTCCGTGTATTTCTCTTGTCGTGTGCCTCACTAACCTCCGCCGCCGGTCCCCTCACATCTTGCCCAGCCAACGACGGTGCGGCAATTCATCAGTTATCTGGGAGTTGAGGGCTGAGGCGGCGAATCCAGCGCGAAAGCATTGGCCGCATCCGCTCCAGGTACTCGAATCCACAGCACGCGCTACACATAACGGCATCCGCATATGCAATCCACTCTGCACATCCATGCCGAACCCGATAATGACGATGGCACGGATGGGTTCTTTGCTTCCTTTGGGTCGTGGACTCCTGGGGGAAGGGGGGAGGAGCCCATATCGTGACCCTGGCCCGCACAATATCCGTATTCCCGTGTTTCTATCCGTGTACGGATATCTATCCACCAAATGGATTATGGGGACTAGACCCAACGAATGGATCAACAGAATGACATTACAATATGACCTCGTCCTGCCGAGGCATCTTGGAGGACGGTCTCCGTTTTCATTTGGATCTTCTTACCTCAGTGGCCTTACCTGAATCTACACTGCAAGACTAACGATGTGATCATTTGTTGTCCTTGGCTTTCCCTTGGCTGTGACTGACCATTACCATTGACGCCTTCCACCGCCTTAGACTCATTGTCATCTACCAACCCAATGTTTCGTCTTACTCATTCCAGGATCAGAGAACAACTGGAGCACATGCGGAGGTGGAGGAGCGTAATCCGTCAACCTGGCAATGTCTTGTCTTGGCCGACCCTGGTTGACATTGCCATTGCCCCTGGGTCCCTAGGCCGCACCGCAGTCAGAGGCTGCGGACAAGTGCGATTGCGGCTGCGGCTGCGCTTTCCACATGGATTTGGATGTCGAAGAATGCACTGCCTGTCAATTCATGTCTCAGAGGCGCATTTCGAAAGCCTCCAGCTGACGAAGATGAGTGCGAAGCAAGAACTGAGGCAGACACCTTGGTTATGTAGTAGCCATGAAATGTAGCCAAACATATAATTACAGTTTGCTACTGGTCGAATGCGTTACAAAACAACGTAAGCTCAGGGTTTCACGCCGTCGAGATATCTCGTTCGAGGGCTGCCAGTGAGTCGTGATCATTAACTAAAGATTCAGCTAGATTTACTTGACCAACTTTACACAGGGCACAGTGGTACGCCGATACAATGTTGGTTCAGTAGGTACGGAGTGCATGCCTCAGACACGGTACGTACACAGCAGCGGTATGGCGGTTCGTGCGGTTCGAGATGACGGCTGAGCCTGCTGAGGTAAGAAAGATTGGCTTCCTTCCAATGTTTGCGTGAGACTCGAGAGAAGGAAAGAGGAGGCAAGGAATGGAAATATCTCGGGCTTGCGTATCGCACACTAACGAATACTTGCTATCGCGAAAGCAGGAAACAACGAGAAACAAGAATCAGACGGCAGGCGAAGGGGTCCACGCTCCCCTCCACCCCCTCTGTCATACCTACAGTCATGGGAAGATCCCAGAACGTTAGGTGACCAAAGGCCCTCTTCTTCTGCCATTCTCCATTGTTCCAAGCTATCCATTCGACGGGCTCCTCCAGTTCTGCCCTCCCTCTTCCTCCTAGGCTCCTCCACCTCCACCACCCCGAATCCGCGATTCCGCCCATTGTTACTATCACCCACACGCAACCCTTCAATCCAAGAGAGACCCAATCCGTCCAACCAGCCGCAATCCTCCAGGTGGCCTAGTGGGCCTGTCAGGGCTCTTCCTCGGAGCGCTGTTCAGACCGGAGGGGCAGCCACACCGTCACTGGGCACTCGAGACCCAGCAGACAGCAGATCGAATACGGTGAGCGATCCCTTAGGCCCGCTGTGGTGTTGGGACCTCGATGGTCAGTGGTCGAAGCGACGGAGTCTCTCCGATAATAACAGCGCCCCAAAGGGCCGACAGGGCCGACTGGCATCCTGCTCGTCGGCTGCTACGGCGCGAAAACAGGAGGGCCTCTTCCGATCACTCAGCACACCAAACGCTCGGCAGACCCGGCACAACATGACGCCCTCGCCTTGAGGATGCTTGTGTGGTTGTCTATCAAGCACCTCGATTCACGTGGTGCCTGACCAAGTACAGCAACAGGTACACGAAGCAAGATGAAGCAAAGTTACTGGTCAGGCAGTTTACGAGGAGCGATCGTGTCACATCAATCTATCAGATGCCATGATTTCGCTGCAAAGCAGAGGAAAGATCGGTGAAGCACCAGTTTTCACCACAGCGGCATTTGCGTCGAAAGCATCACCTCGAAACCCTCCCAGGTTCGCTATGGCAATACGCGCGACGGCAGTCCAAATACTCGAGCGTCTACGGATACTAAGAACGCCTTGCATCGTCCATCATCTTGTCACCGCCAGGAACAGTCTAGCACCCGGACGCCACATCCTTGTCAGTGGTTATTCGGCTGAGGATTCTCGACTACAGACTAGACTTTTCGTTGTCGCTCTCGCTTGTACTGCCCCAAGTGACAAGAGCCACCCCGAATCCCGATAGACTTTACCAACCCCCAGATCTGGTCGAGCCTTGTTGAAGGGCCGAAAAGTCAATGGAACTCGAAGGGTGCTTGCTGAACTCTCAATCAGTCTGTGTTCGCTTCAAGCTCCTACCGCTGTACACCTCAGCAACCACCACTACTAGTCGTCATCTCGGTCTTGGCTTGCTGTCTGGTGTCATGATTCTGCATCTCGCGGACGACTGCGTTGAGAGGAGGATTCAGTCTGCTCTCGAGTCTTGGTTGACCGATCGGCCTTTCTGCCAGGTTACTACTCACTCTCGTAGCCAAGACCGCGTTCACTGCTCCAGGTCCCCAATTGTTTATGGATCGCCATTCGATAAACGCTATCGCAACTTGCTAGGGGTTCCTGGTTTGAAGATAAACGGCCCTAATATGAACCCTGCGCAAAGCCCCAGCATCTCCGTACACTGTTTGCCTCGAGTCCTCAGGGAGTACAGAGCACTCTGAATACGTACCCTCTTTCGTCCGTCCTCGGAACTCATCTCTCACATTACTCCAAGCATTGCGTCGATTGGCCTTCTTCTTTATGTGCTACAGGCGACGGTCACCTGTTGTTACGAAACGCAAAATAATGCGTCTCGACCGCGTGATCAGCTCCGAACCGCCACGTGCGATATTGACTGAAGTTGAAGAAGAGAAAACTCGAAAGACGCGAAGAACCCTTGATACCACAAGCGCGTAAAGCGGCATTCTAGCAAAAATGGATACCAGCTGGGATCGCTCAACGGGTTGCCGACTCTCCGATACTCCAGCCGCCTCCCTTGAACATGAAGTATAGATGACAGGGATATACTCACGATGCAAGTGCGTCATGCTCCCCAGACCATGGTGGATATGTTCAAGTCGGTCGCACCAATGCCGAGCATTGGAAACATCGCCTTGGACGACACATGATATCCATTACCGTCTTCACCTGCTTACCGCCTCGCCTCACCTTTCTCCGAACCGCGATAATCATCCGCTGGCCGCTGTTGGCAGATGCATCATGGCCATTACTCCGGGATAGACACAGTGATCGAGATTTTCACATGATCATGAGGAGACTTTGAACGGGTGTTGAGTTGTCTTACCCAAACAGACGGCAAATTCCTTGGTCTCACCGTTGTTGAGATGACAAGACAGATTGTAGCGAGCTATGCCACCGTCTGATGCTCTACCTCTCGCTCACCACTAGCACGGGCACTGCGCAGCCGCCCTTGGCGGTGCTTCACCACCAATGTGTTTACTACTACGAAATTACTTCGGAATGGGACAAGATGTTCCAGGAAGTTGTACTCGCCAAAAACACACAAGTCTCAGGCGCGCTTCGTCACAGCCCTGAGCAAAATATACCGAGCGGTGCAACTGCTACTGGCACTGGCCCGTATGAGACTTTGACGCGGCAAAAGCTTCTACCCCCGGGATATTGTCAATATCTAAGCTCGCTTGCTCAATAAGCCGAAATAAGGCTGTAGAGATCGTCAGAATTCCCTTGGCAATTGGGAGCAAAGCGTGCGCCGAGCAACTCAATTTCCAGCACTGGCGCCGAGCGCAAGCAGTAAACGCTGTATCTAAGCATGATGCATGTCGACTCTTGCTTTCTAAGTTGCTTTCACAACATTTGAGAATGATGCTTTACAGCATCACGAGCAGGTAGCCAGCATGCAGCAACATCTCTAGAAGCTATCAAACGCGATGCATCGTCATCAGTCGAATGGGGTCCAAGACCAATATCCTATCGGATACATGTGGACGGTGGTTCGTTGTCTGTGCCCTTTGGCGGCGGCGTGCTTCCGGGATTCTTCAACGGCACCGGGATAAGCATACCCAGATATTGGAACATATCTAGCTCCAAGCACTGTCTCATCAATCTGGGCTAGCCACTTGTTCAGGACAGTGTTGTTGTTTCACTGGTGGCTGTCATGTATGCATTTGGCGATCGCCATGAACGAGGTTCCGGCCCATGCCGTTGAGTTTTGACAGCATATCAAGCGGGCCACTCTAGCAGCTGATACGCAGCAACAAGGCTCAGCCGTAATCTGTGCCTTACATGGAACGGGCTTGAGAAGCAACACGGCTCTGAGTACCGCAGGCTCGGCGCGCCAAATCTAGTGGTCGAGCGGTAGGCATGTTGCGTATGCCAAGCTGCTTGTCGCCCTGCAAACTCGCATCCTGTCGGCCGAACTCTGTTTTCGTCCATGGCTCGTTCCCCTGGACTAAGCTTGACCTACCTTCACCATTCTGTGTTGAAGAATTCAGAATCGCCAAAATCACCTCCGGCCACTACGAACTCCAGCGCAATGGGAGAGGAACCAAAGATCATCGCCAATGTGGCAGGTTGCCCCCCTCTTCCTCAGGTTGTGTTCCAGGCTTCAGATGGGCTAGCCAACAGCGGCACAAGTCGTCAGATTGACTAACTGCCACCGCTTCTGTCAACGCATCACACTTCTTAGTCACCCGCGTCGTACCCAGCCATCAGTGCTGTTCGCTTGGATCGGGATCAAGCAAAGCGGCATATCACGGGAGGTGAGGGTGTGCTCCAAAGGCTTGATGACAGTTCTGTTAGCCAACGACCTGTTTCAGCAGACATTCGAGACTGGTATTGTTCCCCCACGCTTGTCGTGACTGCTGCACCCCTCAAGGAGAGACGGTGAATGGCTCGCTTATTACACTACTGCAGGTGGCCCGAAAGAGATGTTTAACACATAGCGAAGTGAGCCAGGCCTTGGCGCTGGTGCTGCTACGCCGTGCGGAGGAGAGGAGTGGATTGTGGGAAAAGGGGAGGACGGACGGATCATGGATCCTGTCAGTCGACCGTACCAACTCGAGCGAGCACATGTTCTGATCCTCGCGGAGGACTTGGCGACCGAGATGCTCCGAAATGAGACCCGGAATCTTGTGTCAGTGACCGACAGTCCGACAGTCGGCTCCAGAGGCTGATATGTGCTTCTTAGCCGGCGGTGCTTGAGCCGCCAGTGGGCACACGTCTCAAAGAGGCAAAACCGGGCGACTTGAAAGTTGAAAGATGTTTGACGGCCAGGGCGGGACCGGGAGGAACGAACCTCGCGATATTGGAGGGCTGTCTTCCGTCCTGTCTTCCGTCCATTCTTCCATCGAGTACGTCTTCGTCGGTGTGGTATTTGGACAGAGTACCAAGACAACGGCGCCTTGCTCGAGCCTCGATGTTTCTAGCGGCTTGTTTAACCCTGCTACACATCGTTGGCTTGGCTGAACTAGAAGTCTCTCGCAACTGCCGCTTTCAACCCCCAACTTGCCCCCATCCCTGGGGATGGGAAGTTGTTGGGATGGCGTCGCTGAAACTCAAAAAATGATACCCTCAGGAGCGCACATCGGATTGGACACGGATCTACAGACATACGAGGCGGTTGTCGCGTTGAAATACCACCTGGAACAGTGAGCAGCAGGTCTAGACTTGGCCGATGGTAGAGAAGACGCGTCTCGTTCGTGGCTTATTCCATGTCTCGCGCTGGCTCAAGGCGCACCTTGCAGTTTTTTTACGGATTACCTAGCACTGCACCTGATACCAGGGGAGTGTATCGACGAAGTTTGGCATGTCAAAATCAGCAAAAGATGTTCACGCCTCATCTCAAAATGGACAGCCAAGGAGATCTGCCGGGTCATTAATGTGATTATCGATTCTCGACTCTCAACAATCAATGGTCCGAATGATGGGTTTTTGCCTTTCGAAGTTGTCCCTATTCAACTGCTCTTTGTACAGATACCGATACCTCAACTAAAATGTGGGGAGCGGAGTCTCCTCATCTTGAGATCTGCCATATTATCACAGTCTGTTAGTTGAGGCGAAGAAGCTGTGTCGATGCTGGGCTGGAATGGGTTGAGTACCTCATGGGATTTCTGACAGCTAGGGACGTGGCTGGCTAACTAGCCAAGCCACGCCGTGGAGTCAGTTCCGGACGGGATTCACCGTACGGGAAAGTATGTCAAAACGGGCTTGTTCCTCCAATCGAAGCTCCTCCTTTGGCAATCCACCACCGCCAACATCGTCACCAGCCTCTCCAGTCTCCATCTCTGGGTCTCTACCCCGAACTTGGCCCCGTTGCCCTTCCGCCCGCTCGAGCCCTCGACAACGGGCTCCCGCCAAGCCAAGTGGCGGTGAGCTAAAGGCCCCCGAGAGCCCTGGAGCTCGTCCGCCGCCCTTCCCTTCGCTTCACTCTAATCCCCGTCTACAGCAGCCCCTCACTGGGTGCATTCACCTCTCGGGTCTTTTGCGGCATGCTTGACAGGGCTAGCTAGGCCCTGCGGTGCCAGCAAATGTAGTGTGAGTCGACAGCTGCTACCGCCGCTGTTGCTGGTAAAAGGGGCTGGAAATCTCGCTTCAATGCTTGCTGCATCCTCAAGCTGGAGATGCAAACGACCTATTGGAGCTTCCACCAGCTTGATCCCGGGGAAGCTCATGCGACTGCCTTCTGTTTCTGAACCTGAAGTGCCATTGCGATTCACCGCAGCTTTCCGAGCTGCAGACCGTCAAACGCGTCTGTAGGCATGTCCTGTCCAGCGCCCTTGTTCCACGGCAGACGGGCAGCCGCGTTGTGCAGGCGTCTACTTCTCCGAAGACAGCTCGGGTTAACGAGACGCCCCGACATGGGCGGGAAGATGGTATTAATCTGGGGTTCGCGGGGTACAAGTGGCTTACAGTCACGATACATCGATACGATCCTTTGTCCTGGAGGCAATCACACCCCCCGGAACTCTATCCCGGATGGGTGGGAGGGAACAGGCCATTCTCACACTCTCTATACATGCGGCATCTCGAAAAATCCCTCATGGCTGGTATGCACCATTATGGAGGATGGTGAGGATGACGACCTTGTTTATGTACGAATACTCGTGATTTGCCAATCATCCTCGCAGTCAGGCCCTTTGCTGTATTCGTACCAGATACTTTGGCATTGATGGTCAGTTCAGTCTGTCCATGCTGTACACCATCCCCCCGTCGCAAAGCTCTGCGGCTCAATACTCGGTCGATGGGTTTCGGACACACGGACACGGACGTGGCATATATTGAACCTTTGCGTCTACGGCCAACACGGTACAACTAGCTATTTGATGATTTCGTTATCGTCAGAATTTTCCATCTGCATGGAGGTTGCCATCGCCAGGTGGGGAATTGGTCTGCAGCTTCCGACATGATCAGACTTTTTTTTTTGGTGGCCATGCCGAACGAGAGAGAGCGCGAGAGCTTATCTCTCCTCTCATGTGGCGAAGAGTGATCGCCCTGGGGCCCAGATCTTCTAGAAGGGTTCTCCAAACCCCAAGCCCGAGTCGGCGACGTCTGCATCCCTAGTGGGTAGTCTGGCCCCCTCCGACGATGATCGAATGCCCAGAGAGAAGGAAGCAGCTCAGTCCTTGATGGGCGACGCTTGGCGTTCTGCCAAAAAATGCCACCATTGACCATTCATGGTCCGTCGAGCCTGTCCCTGGCGTGCCCAGCTGAGGGGAAAGCCCGACTGGGAGACGGGCTTGTGTTGAAATATGCCTGCAACTGGGCACTCCATCATTTTTGGGGTTTGGCTTGGCTTGTTCGGCGATTCCCATTGCTTGACAGGACGATTCTTCGTCGTGGTGGTGGGAAGTGTGCCAAGCCAAACGTATTTTAAAGTTTTCGTTTGCTTTGCCTAAGGACATTCAATTGCGTGTCCGTTTCTGTTATGATCTGCCTGTAGCCTTTGGTAGATCCAAAGTCATGGCAACCAAAAAAGTCCACCCACTGCGATGGGTTAAAGTAGCTGCTGGCACGTTTTGGCATGTTGGTTGAGTGAGGTAGCACGGTAAGTCCGACGTCGATTTGAGGAGATCAGCAATCCCATACCTCATCCGAATATGGGCTGCTTAATCTGGTGAATCTACATGGACGTCCCTTGGAACAGATCTCCCCTCTCCGTGCCCCCCGTAGTTCGGACGGAGGTCCAAGGTAGGTGGTCAGAGGGAAAACGATCGGAGGAATCGAGAGCGAGAAAGCCGCCGCGCTCAACGTGCGGCGAGCGGGCTGATCGCGGACTGTGCGCGGTTGAGGGGTGGGAGGACGCGCAGACCGGGGAACGTCACTCCGGTTGCCGGAGCTTCTTTTTGCTGCGGGTGTTTGTTGAGGACGGGAGAAGGACGGATGTGTATGTTCAGCATCCGAGTACGGCTTCCGGTCGTACATGTCCCCGCGCCTTTTGATTCTTTTTGTGTTTTCGAGAGATTCAGGTGGGTGTCTGTCTCGCACGGTGATCTTGGGGTTGGAAGGAAGGTTGAGCGCGGATGTCGTCTGGGAGGTGTAGCTTTAGAGTGAGATGTAGCTTGAGGCTTCAAATCTGCCTATATATGTGTATGTGGCTGCTGCTTGTAGCTGTAGCTGGCAAGACTACTATGCCCGAAGTTGAATATAGACAACGAAGGCGTACCTTTTACAAAACCTTCCTTCGTGGCAGAA